AAGACCATCCATAACTAAAGCAAAAAGATATGGGCTTAAAGCGAAGCAATATTTTAGAAGTAGTTTTACTAAAGATAGGGAAATATTTGGTCAATCCTCCTTCAGTTCAAACACAAGTAACAACTCTAGTATACATATCTTTAATGACTTGAATATAAGTCATATGAACACCTTTCTTCTCAAAAACTCTCAAACTCTCCAAATGATATACCTTATCGTATGCTTTTTCTAAATCAATAAAAATCAAATGTAGATGCTCCTTATTATCTCAGAACTTCTCCATCATTATCTCTATTATCTCAGAACTTCTCCATCAAACTTCTCAATAAATGTATAGCTTCTATAGTAGTCCCGCTCGCATAAATCCAAATTGATTATGTGAAATCTTGGTAATGCTTCTTAACCTATGTTCAATTGTCCTCTCCCATAATTTTAAAGTACGAGACATCAACTTAATTTGCACACTCTTGTGCATCTCTTTTATTCTTAAAAATAGGAACCAAAATACTTTTTCTCCACTCCTCAGACATCTTTTTAGAGACATCTTTTTAGTTTTTAATTTTTAAAATAATATTAAAGAGTTTAGTAAGCCAAGAAACTGCCAAATCTCCTAAATATGTCCACACTTTAATTGTGATATCATCAGGTCCTATAGACTTTCCACCTTTTTCTTTAAAGCCTCTTCAACTTCTTTTTTACTAATACGACGGTAAAAATGAAATTTTTTCTTATTATTAAGTATAATAAAATCACTAAGGTTGATCGGATTTTGAGAAATTTCATTAAAAATTTTATCAAAATAACTCACCCATCTATGTTCAATATTTTTTTCTAAGAAATTTTTTTTTGATTTTCATCTTTAATACATTTTACTTGAGTTAAGTCTTTACTTTTCCTATCTCTTTGTTTGACTTGTTTATACATCTATTTTTCACTCTCCTTAGTATCAAATCTATTATAAAGATCACTAAAAGCAGACTTTTTAGCGTCACAGATTATTTTTTTAGACTTCCTGCGGACCGTTTGATATTTTTTCTAGTTCTCTAAGTTTTTACATTTAAACCAATTTTTATAACATAATGTCTTATATTTTATCTTTTTTTGCATATTATTTTATCTTTTCTTGCACATTATTATTCCACTATCAACTATTTTTATTTATAGAAATTTTTTCTTTTGATTATTGAAATACATCTTTGGCTACTTGTTTAATAGTGTTTGTTACTTTATCCCACAGCATTTTTCTTCATGAACATCCCAAATTTTTAAATCTTGAATTTTACTCATAAAAATAATTTTATTTGTGTCTATTAGATTCGTTCATCTGATTCTACTATGACGAACCCCAGTATGCTTTATTTTACAACTCTTTTTCTTAAAATCTAGAACTAATAATCGAAATAAAAATTCAAAGAAGACAAATTTTTATACATCTAAACTCTATGATCCATAAACTTGAATTTAGTTCAAAAGTATGTCCAAAAAAGTCGACAATGCCAAAGGATATTTTCATTCAATGTTAGGAAATTATGTTTTACATCAAGATTATTCATCAAAGCTTCTGTGTTGACGCCCATCAACAACATGAGGAGGAAAAAATGGACATCTCTTTATTGTAGCTAGATCACTAAAGTTATCCACAAATAATCTCAAGTATCTTTGCAAATTAACATGTATTGATCTCATAGCTGTGTTGTTAATTTTTGATTCCAAAATTAAAGACTGGCTTTAAGTATCTCCTTTCCTCCCATTCTTACTTTCAAGAATTACCTTTTACTTGATATTGAATTCAGAAGATCAAGGACCATTCCGTCTTGGCAGGAGGAGCACTTTTCATTTTAAATGCCGCATCTTCTTTTTCTCATTTTTAACCACATGATATTGATATGAGAAGCCAACTTGAGATGTAAATGGCTTTAATCTCAGAAAAAAAGAGTCAAGTATAACTCCTACATTCATGGCATGCTTTATATATGAATGAATCAACTGGAACTCATGTAAAAAGCTAATAATTTCTCAATTCGAATATAACATTATATAAGCTCTACAAGCTGCCTTATTGCATTTGTTGCTAATGATTTGAATTTCTTTTTATTCACCTATTGAGCAGCCTAAAGTGGTAACTATCAAAATTATTGTTTTCTTATTGGACTATTAAACTGGTATGTGAATTGGATTATGGTATAGATTTTGTAGTCCATTCACAATCTGCCTTATGCTCTTTCTTAAATGCCTTCAGAAATCCCTGTAGCAGCATAGCAGAATGGTTTTGGTGATTTGCAGCGAAAGCTGTAAAATTCTGATTTTCTGAAAATTCTATTGATGCAGGTGAAATTGGTTTGGTATTATAACAATGCATTAGGAAGGCCAAATAAGAAGAAATTCATTGCAAGATCAAAATCGTAGGTGCATAAATGAGGAATCAATTGTTTTCTATTGTTTCTTTGCACATTTTTTTATTTTTGCACTTGCCTCCTTTGTGCAATTTCGTATACTTTATGGAGGCTACTTAAAAGTGACATCTTTTTTTCTCTACAGATACCATGGATCAACATTAATAGCAGCAAGTTTGTCCGGGTAGAACTTCAAATTTCTTTGTTTCTTTCTTTCTTTTTTTTTGGCCGATTTCTGTGAAATTTTATCCTCACTTTTGAGAGGAAATGGGATTCGGTATTTAAACACGAGTTTCCTAAGTTGTGTCAAGGAAATTTGTATTATTAGAATCTATTTTGCATTTATTCATTAATCAGATCATTTTCAGCCTTCCTGCTCTACATCAGAAGTTTGATCTTCCTGTTGATTTTGTACTGCACACTGATTGCCCACATTATTGGCGCTTCCATCTACCAGGTCACCATTTATTTATGAATTTTTCTCCTTTGTTTTGGCTTTGAAAATTTTAACAGCTTCAAGTTGAGCTGCAGGTGAAACTGAGGAGGAGTTCTCAACTAGGCTGGCCAACAATCTCGAGAAGCTTATTCTCAAGGAAGGTCCAGAAACGGTAAAATCCCTCTTCATTCCTGAGCTGGAAGTTAAAGAATATATTGAATAAAACCAACTCGGTACACTGTTTGTACTTTTCATTAGATTGCTGCCTTCATAGCAGAGCCAGTCATGGGTGCTGGAGGTGTCATCCCTCCACCAAAAACCTACTTTGAGAAGGTGAAGAATCTCTCTTTTTTAAGTATGTATTATCCGACTTTTTTGTGCTTCTTTATATAACATACATCATTTCCTCTATTAATGAATCTCTGTAGCAAGTATATGTGGAAAACATGCTTGATGGTATGCAGCTGATTGTGTCAATGTGCTCATCTGGTTCATAATACAAATGATAGTGAAGTTGAAATCAAAAATCTTCTTTTCATTTTTTTCATGGGGAATTTGAACCCCAAATCTTAATGGAAGGTCGGGAAAATTTAAATCAACTACCATGAACTATGCGTTCTCATCCAATCTTCTTCCTTCAACAATGATTTTGTTTAGACTGATATTTGCTCAGCTCTTTTCCACTGTAGAGCATTCACATGTTCTTTACGTAGGAATATGCTTGATGGATGAGGAAATAATAAATAATATGTTACTTGATCCTCATGCTAATAAAGTTTAACTGGAATCTTCTTTTGAACTTTTTCTTTACAGTGCGGTACTTTTTCTGGCAACTACAATGTAATGATTATTGTACCATATGAAGTTCCAGATAGTGAAGCAGTGAGATTTAGAATTTATTGAAGATATAACCATTCTTTTAATTGATATCTACTTGGAAACCTGTACTTCTCTGTGCTATCAATCCAGCTAAACTTATTGCTTAGATTTTTATTTGTTTAAATATAATGGTTGTTTAGACTTGATTCTCTATCTGTTATCACCAAAGGCTGGAATTGATATTTTGTCGAAGGTCAAGTAATCTTCTATCAATTATTTTTGCCTCAAATTTTTTGATGGTGGTCTAGGACCCTATAATATTGTTAGCTTCTTCATAGAGTGATTTTTTCTATCTATATTTGCTATCATATCATTTTTTTCTTTGCCAAAGTGTGGATTTTATGCTGCCATTGCTTCTGCCACGATTTGACTATTACATTTTTTATGATATAGTTTGAGGTAGATATTTAGCTTCAGATTTGAAACCTTCCAATTTTACTTTCTATTCTCATTCTGTATTTGCTGCGTATTCAAAATCTGTTCTTAAAGCAGTTCCTCAATCTCCTCCACCGTGATTACTAGGCTTTAAAGGTAGCTTTTATGTAAATGCTCGGGAGAAAAGTTCATTTTGGCCTTGGGAATCGATGCAATTCAAAATTATGTTTAAAATTTAATTCAATGCATTATAATTTTTAAATTAATTTGAGATTGATATAAGAAGAAAATGCTTTTGGATAATATTTTGTTTGAAATTTGAATAAGGTAAGTTTGATAGGATTATTAGAGATCAAATTATTTTGATCTATCTTGTAAAACCTGTTTCTGTAATTAGTGAATCCTTGTTTGTGTTGGATCAATTGAATGATGAATTTGAAATTATATCTTCCTCTTTCTCTCTCTTTTCTATCTGCTTCTTTTGGATTTCTCTCCTTATACCTAACTTTTTCCTTGTTGATTCTCTATCTACATTACTAAGCCTAACATAGTTTTGAATATGCACTTAGTTATGCTGAACTGGCTTACTCAAATATTTTGAGATTTTTTTATACGTTGGAACTACCTTCACACATTGAGAATATCTTTGATTGTGTAAACTTCAATCAATTATAACTGTTGTTTAGTTGAAAAAGAAGAAAATCACAAAATTGGCTTAGGACTATTTATGTAATATCTGTGTTAAAAAAGTAATTTCGAACGTCGTGATGTTTTGAACAAAATCGTCGTGGCAGTTTTGTCGTTAGGTGTTAAGGGAGGGAACAAATAAATTTGACTCATTCAAACTAGAAGCTTGTATAGCAATGAGAGCAAGAAGATCCAAGAGGCAGAGAGCGAGAGGAGCGTTTCAAACATCGGCTGTGCTTGTGTGCGTCTATGACAAGGAAGAATGCTCATGATCTTGTGAGGATGACGATGTCTCTTTTTGTTTGGGAGATGCATGCAACGGTGCCATTCGAGTGTGTCAACGTCTGACCAATGGCTTGTGTGCGGGAGGAGATGGAGCCTTCGAAGCACTGTGTGTGCTTGTAGGGAAGGAGCTTCGTGTGGGAGGAGGCCAAACTGATAAGTTGAAGGGTAAGGGTTTATATTTTATTTATATAAGCTATTTTGTTTAATTAATTAAATGCTATTCATATTAAATTACATGAATTAATATCAATGATAAATTTTGACAAGCAATCAAATTAAGTAAGGTAGGATAATTGTGAAAAAGAGTAGATAAGGGGATAAAATTAGTGTTTACTTTTTATTAACTTTATTAGTTGGAAATTCATTTATTAAATTATGATTAAAATATATATTAGAAATTAGAGACAGGAGAATAATTGGATTTGAAGAAGAAAGCTTTCCATAATAAATATATTGTTTATGTGATATTTCATTTGTAGTCAATTAAATTATAAGTTATTGAACGTTAATATTATAATTTATGAATTGTAATTGGACATGTCTGCTTATATGTCTGAGGTAAGCTCTAGGATTGTTGTTTTGGTTGAGGTAAGCTCTAATTATATGTCTGCTTCTTTAAAAAATAAATATTTTAAGATCCTGTTTAAAGCACAATAAAATATTGGTGAAGATGCTTGGAAAAATTTAAAAAATTTAAGATAATGATTATAGTAAAAAAAAAAAAAAGATTTCAAGGAGAAAGAGAAGCAAGTTATAGGTGAGTAATTATTAGTTTGTTTGCATTAAATTTATTTATTATTATTTAAAGGTATTTGTGATTTCAAAGAATAAAACATATATCGACATCCAATCTCAATTTGATATATATTGTTTGAAAAGAAATGTTTCATTTATTTCATAAAAGTTTAAAAATATTTTTATGATTAAAGATAATGATTGAAAATGAAATGATTGTTTAAAGATTTACATTATTACACCATATGTATTTTTTTTTAAAAGTCTAATAAATAGATTCAAATAATTTAAATGAATTAAATATAATTTAAATGAATATAAGTTGATTAAATTTATTAGGAGTCATCTTTTATACTCATAGTTGGAAGACAATATTGTAACCATGCTCGATAAAAGAGATGAAAATGAAAATGTAAATAAAAATTATTGTACCTTTATTGTTCCAAATTTTTATGGTGTTCTTGAGACGACTTCTTAAAGGAAAAAGAAATAAAAATTGTAATTCATTGAGATGATGAAAATATAATTGATTAAGATGTTTTAAGAAACTTTTTTATAAAAAAAGAAAAATATAAAGCTTATTTATAGATTAATCAACGTATTTCTTTGAGTATTCATGTTAAACATTTGAATAATAATTTAGTGAATAATAAAATGATAATTAATATCTAAATTGTTGTAAACTTAACTTGTTATTTAATTGTTCTTTCAAGAAAAGCTCTACTAGATTAAGATGTTTGATAGGAGACAGTTTAATTACAATAGGAGGATTGCTGGAAATAGATATCAAGCTGATTGTTTTTCATGTTTAGTCACTTTTAATTTATTACTGTATCAGGCTGGATGATCATATATACTTTGTTAGATGATGTTAATTTATGTCTTGTGGATTAGTGACTTTTGTTAGTTGTATATTACTATGAATTACTGTTATTGTTAGTAATATTTATTTTTACTGTCAGACTATTTATTTCCCCCTTGATTAACTCCAAGCTCCTTGGCCAGTTTGTGTCAATTTATGGAGTGCTGTTTTAATCCCAAACAATCTAACAATTTGATTCCTCAAATTTGTTCCAAAATAATCAAATAAAGGGATTTTTTGTATCATATTTGAGGGATTAAGGTACTAAATTGAGCATATTTGTAGTTTCGGACAAAATGATGCTTTCTAATTAGTCTAGGTGCACTTTTAACCAATTTCTCAATTAAATTAGCGTTACAGGAGATGTATTTTGCATACCTTGTCTGATTATTATTGTACACGAAAATTAATTTTTTTTTCCTTGTATTTTGTGTGGTATCCATGGCAATGTGGCTGTTTGAATGACGCTCTTTAAATGAAATAAGGTCATAAAAATTTATAAAACCCTGATTTTTTTTTAAAATTTATATGAAGGTCCACATTATAGAAGAAATGAATATATATTAACTTAAAGCTATATTCGGATGCTATCTTCTGAATCTTGTTTTCTTTCTTCACGCATCTTTAAAACAAGACTAAAAATGCTGCCAAAATAATTAAAATTGTCCACCATCAACATTTAGGCGTGTTCAGTTAGGATTCAGGCTTTAAAAAAATGCTCGACTAATATCTTTTAAGTACTATTTATCTGCAGATTCAAGCTGTTATAAAAAAATACGACATTCTCTTCATTGCTGACGAGGTAAACCTCTATTGAAATGTACAAGTTAAGTATGGTTTCACAGAAATTTATTATGAAATGATTGTTTTTTTTTTTTGGTAGGTTATTACTGCCTTCGGAAGGCTGGGAACCATGTTTGGATGTGAGAAATATGATATTCAACCAGACCTTGTCTCGATGGCTAAAGTAAGTTAAAAAAAAAAAAACTTCTGATGGAACGCCAATATCTTTTGGTTCTAAACCTGCACTGATTGAACTAAACTATTCCATAGGCCCTTTCCTCTGCTTACTTGCCCATTGGAGCAATCCTTGTCAGTCCAGAAATTTCAGAGGTTATACATTCTCAAAGCAATAAACTTGGTGAGCTAATAATATCTCATTTTGTTTACTTCATGATGCAAAATGACATTGGATTTGATGCTTTTTTAATGGTTATTTGATTTTTATAGTTTTTTTTTAGTTTATTTGTGTAATCATATCTATGATTATTATCCCTATAAAAAATAAGCTGCGTACTCTAATTCCCACACTGTTTCTCTGATTTTCTTAAAATTCTCCTTACTCTGGTTTGGCTTCCGATGCTTGTTCAGTTCATTGTTGGGTTGGTCATTTCTATTCTCTAAATGTTTTGATGCTGGATGTTGGGTTATACTCTATTTCTAATTGGAGAACAATGCCCTATACTTGTGGCTTGCGGTTCTGTTTATCCTTATGTGGCTTATTTAGTTAGTATATTATGTTTTCTGATACTGTAGAAAGCAGAATTTACGCAGTGTAAGCAATTTTTTGGCGCTGCAGCAAGTGTGATATTTATATGATTTGCTGTTAACGGTTATGGTATCTGGGACTGTAGCTTTTGAGAGATCTCTGAAATTTGGGGCTAATGTAATAAAGATTCCATGATATGATGCTTGAAATGAGCAATTGATTGTTTGATTTGTATGTGATTTCCTTAAGTGCATGTAAGTATAGATTGATAATTTTTTTGGGAAAGTTTCTTTCTTGAGGTCTAGATCATTGATTTGACGATTTTTTGTATTGACACGAGGCTTGAATCATTTATTTTTTGATTTCGTACATTTATTCTTGTTTGTCTATATGCAATATGACTGGTTTATGAGCATTATTGGCTTTGGTCAAATCTATTATAATTTAGATCTTTTTAATGTGGCAAGTCTTATTAAAAGTTTGATTTTTATGATTTCAATTTTCTTTAAAAAATTTCTATTTAGACTATCATTAAATAATCATTTTAGGTGAATTTTATTTACTAATTGATTTTTATCAAAAGTGACAACTCTTTTCTAAATTAAAAAGTTTGTGAACTCAAATTTTTTTTGTATGCACATTTTTGTGTATCACATCCTAGTTAGGTATTAAGAAATCTTAAACCTTAATATATCTTGTGTTCGATTTGGTATTAAAAAAAAAGGTTGTACCAAAATGTTTACTATGTGGGCCATACTAATTTGTTCATATTTTGAAAATAACAAAAGATGCAATTATAAAAAATGAGCATCATTATTTTCATAATCATATTCATACTTTCATTGCGATATAATTTTAAGAAAATTTTAAATTAGATTAATTATTAGGAAAATTTCTTTGAATGTTATAACATATTGATTCCCAAAGAATTAGATTGTCTAAATCAAATGCAGCAGGACATGCTCAATTAGTTTGGTGAATTGTCATCACTAAATCTACATGAGTGAATATGAAACATAAATTTGAAGGACAATATTTATTATTTAAAGTTTAAATGGTAAACCAAGTTATGAATTTAAATATTTTAAGCAATGTGAATATGATGAGTTTGAATATTATGATTTTTTTTTTCAATGTGTACTGTTAGAAGTTTTTTCTATTTATTTTGTTGTCTTTCATGTTATTTCTTTTTCTATATTTTTCCTAGTTTATGGCTTTTCTTTTTTTCTTTTGGGTGTTATTAGGAGAAAACTAGGCATTATTTCTTTCCTTATTTATATCCTTGTATTATATATTTTTACCCCTTTTAATATAAATAATATTATACAACTTTATTTTCAAAACTTATATTGTATCAGAGCCATGGAATCTTTCCCTTATCGTCGGGATCTTACGTTTAGCCATCAGGATCTTACCCTAGCAGCCGGAACCTCCCCTGCAGACCTTCTGGTAGCTGGACCTCCCTGCCCCATCGGATCCCTTTCTGCCGGTTGTTTCCTCCACTATAGGACCTCCCTACAGACCATTGGAGCTCCTCCCTACAGTCGGACCTCTCCCTTGCAGGACCTCTCGCCACCAGATCTCTCTCCTGCCAGTTGTATCCTCCACTATAGGACCTCTTGTGCTGCCAGGCTAGTAAGAGACCATCTCCGTCTATGTCTCAGCATCCGATCCTCACCTTTGGCTTAGTCAGAATCTTGGTGTACTCCAACGAGCTTCCTTCAGACGATGTCCTTGAGTCCACCGGAGGATCGACACCTACCTCTATCCCTACGCAGACAGGACTTGAAAATCAGATGAACTTTTTGATTGCAACTCACAAACTCTACGACTTTAATTTCCTCTAATGGTCTCAAGCGGCGTCATTGTTCATCAAAGGTCGGGGTAAATTTTGCCACCTTACAGGTGCAATTCGTGAACTTTTGAAGACCGACTTATCATATGCAACATGGGAAGTAGAGAACTCCATGGTTATTTCATGGCTGATTAATTCCATGGAGACCTCAATTTGTTGTTCTTACCTACTTTTATCTGCAAGTGCCCGTGCCCTCTGGACCATGGTTCACGATATCTACTTAGACATAGGTAATTCTATACATCTATGAGGTTTCAAATAAGATCCGCGAGGTGAAATAGGGGTCGAAGGCATGCCATAGTACTATAATGATTTGGTTACCTTATGGATGAAATGTGACATCTACTATTATTATACGTGGGACTCTTCTGCGGATCTTTCCCTCTTCCAAAAAATTCTGGAAAAAAAATTGTGTTCAATTTCTGACTGGCCTGAACAAGGATCTCGACGAAGCCTGCAACCGTATACTTGGTCGTGATTCTCTTCCTTCAACCCGGGAAACATTGACAGAGGTCCACCGCGAAGAAAGTCAGAGACTTGTCATACTCGACAACTCCACTAATTCAGCTAACTCTTCAGCCTTGGTCTCCAAAACAATTCCTCACTTGGCCACGCCATCACATGCCAATCACTCATGTGTTTTCTGTCACAAACCCTACCATACCTGTGACAAGTGTTGGAAGCTCCACAGGAAGCAGTCCAATAAATCTTCAACCAAATCTTCAGTTGTTGAAGGTCTCGCTATAACCTCATAATTCACAACCCTTTAGCTGACCCCCACTCAGACAATCCTCGAATCATCAGACTCTATGAAGAGTCAGATGGAACACTTAATTTGACTGCTTGGATCCAGTCAATTCTCCTGCTCGTCGAACTCCCATGTTCGTCAAGGTAACCTTTTTATGACACTCACTGGTTCTTCTAGTTTGCGGATTATTGATTTAGGTGCATAGACCACATGACCATATGCTCTCAAGTTGTCTCGACATATTCTCCATGCTGAGGGTGAGACTATTAAGATTGTCGATGGCTTTTGTAATTCTATTGCGGATAAATGGTCGGTTGTATTAACAGCCGGGCTGATTCTGGGATCCGCATTACATGTACTTGTGCTTATGTGTAATCTCTTATCAGTCAGTAAGTTGATATACTATCTTGATTGCGTTGCTCATTTCTCTTTTGATATTTTTCTTTCAAGATTGTCGTTCGGGGAGGATGACTGAAACAGTTAAGCAGATAGCCGAGCTCTACTTCTTGCAAGAGAATGACATGGATGAGATAGACACTCAATCCAATAGTTGTAGTTTTTCCTTTTTTACTATTTGTCCAATTATGTTTTTTCATTGTCGCTCAGGTCACATCCCGGTATTCACTATTTAAAACAATTGTACCCTCTAATGTTTATTGATAATAGTCCATATACTTTTAAATGTGAAATTTGTCATTTAGCTAAACATCATCGTGTTTTTTAATCCACCGCACAATTATACTTCTTCCTCTTCATTTTCACTGATTCATAGTGATTTATGGGAATACTCTCAAACTGCAAGCTAAACCAATAAACAATGGTTATTTACTCTAATTGATGAACACACTTGGATGACGTGAGTTTATATATTAAAGGACAAATATGAAGTTGCAGTCAACTTCAAAAACTTTCATTTCTTCATTTTAACCCAATTCAAAACCTCCATTCAAGTCCTTCAAATCGACAAGGACTTGGAGTATAACTCTATTTTAGGAGAATTCTTGGTGAGTAAGTGCACCCTCTATTATAGCTCATGTGCAGATATCCCTCAACAAAATGAGATAACCGAGCGGAAAAACTAACATTTTCTCGAAGTGACTCATTCCATTATTTTTCAAACTATTGTCCCTAAACGATTTTTGAATGACGCCGTCCTTACTGCCACTTATCTCATTAACATAGTTCCCACAATAATCAACAATTTTCGGTCTTCGTTATCCCTCTTGATGTCGTGTTTTCCTACAAATTGGTTCTTCACCACATTAGATTTGGGCGCACAGCCTTTGTTCGGAGCACTATACTGACTCGAAATAAAATTGCGTGTTTTCCTACAAATTGGTTCTTCACCACATTAGATTTGGGCGCACAACCTTTGTTCGGAACACTATACTGACTCGAAATAAAATTGCGTGTTTTCCTACAAATTGGTTCTTCACCACATTAGATTTGGGCGCACAACCTTTGTTCGGAACACTATACTGACTCGAAATAAAATTGTTCCTCACTCGATTAAATGCTTGTTCCTCGGCTATTCAATTGCTAAAAAAGGCTATACTTGTTTTGATCCTATCACCAATAAAATCTATGTGAGTGTCGATGTATCTTTTTTAAAAAATCCCCTACTTTACTAACACTTCCTCTAGTGAGGGAGAGCTAGATTTTCTGGACACTGTTCCCTTTCCGACTCTGTTGGATATTCAACCTACTCCTACAACTTATGTGTCTGAGGAACCCTCAGTCCCATTAGATCCATCACCAACCGACCAACATCACCTCCATCCACTCTATGTGTCTATACTTGACGTGCCAAACCGACGGTTCATACTCGTCCCAATGCCCCTACGATCGAGCCCGCTGTCTCGCTCTAAGTCTCGAAATTTGCTCCGGCCGAAATCCCTGGAGTGATGCTCTCTCAACTTACGAGGATTACTCCTACTCTGAATGAGGAGTTGAATTTCCTCATTAAGGTACATAAACAAGAATGCACTCTTTACCCTTGGCAAAATATGTCTCATTCTGCAGCTTATCTCCAACTTACAAAGCTTTTGC